GAGGACGTGAATCAGGGGTGAGAGAGACGAGAGAGAGAGTGACTGGAGGCGAGTGACGGAGAGCGTGAATGAGGGAGAGAGAGAGACGAGAGACCGACAGACAGAGAGAGGGGCAATGTTTGTATTATATCTTTGCATGTTTGTTCCGTAAGTCACAGGACGAGGCGATTTCGGGGTCCTCCTTCCTCCGTCCGCGGCGCGCGAAGCGGGCGAGCTCCGGCGAGGGTGCGGCGGTTACGGGACCCCTCATATTGTAGGCCTGAGAGTGAAGGGCAAGCGGCGCGGAGTTCACAGAGCGGGAACATCCTGTGCGCGGAGCGTGTAATCAGGAGAGGGCAGGTAGAGAGGAAGGGGGGGGGGGTAATCGATCCCTGTGCCTATTTTTATTCCTTTCTATTTGTCGTGGCATTGACGGCCTGATGTGTCTGGCAGCGGGGACGTCGATCGCGGGCGCATCTCCTCTCCTCTCGGGCCCCAGGGCTTCCTGCTCGCCTGTCGGGGTCATCACTCTTTTCTTCTTGGCCTTCTCTATATCTCACAAGACCCACTCACTAACTCTTTCTTTCTCTCTTCTCTCTCTCCTCTCTCGTCCTCTCTCTCTCTACTCCTCTCTGTCTCTCTCGCTCATCTCTCTCTTCCTCTCTCTTCTCTCTCTGTCCTCTTCTCCTCCTGTTCTCTCCTCTCCTGCTTCTGTCTTCTGTTTTCTTTTCTCTGTCCTCCTGTCTCCTCTTCTCTCCTCGTCTCTCTCCTCTCTTCCTTCTCTTCATCATTCTCTCGCTCTCTCTCCCTCCTCTCTCTCGCCTTCTCTCATCCTCTCTCTCTCTCTCTTCCCCCTCCTCTTCTCTCCGTCCCTTCTTCATCTCTCTCTCCTCTCTCTCCTCTCCTCTTCTTCCTCTCTCTCCTCTCTCTTCTCTGCTTCACTTTTTTTCTTTCTTTTCTCTCTCCCATCCCCTTCTCCCTCTCCATCTCTCTTCTCGTCCTCTCTCTGTCTTCCTCTTCCTCTTTGTCTCTCTTCCTCTTCTCTCTCTCTCTCTCTCTGTCTCTCTCTTCTGTCTCCATCTTCTCTTCCTCTACTCGATCTCTCTCGTCTTCCATCTTCTCTCTTCCTCTCTCCTCCTATCTCTGTCCCCCCGTCTCTCCTCTTCTCTCTTCTCTCATCTTCTTCGTTTCTCTCTCTCTCTCTCCTCCTCCTTCCGTCATCATCTTCCTCTCCTCTCCCGTCCCTCGTCCCTGATCGTCTCTCCTCTGGGCCCTCATATCCTCCTCTCTCTTCTCTGTCCTCTCTCTCCTCTCTGGGTCTCCTCTCTCTCCCTCCCTCCCTCATCCTTCCTCCTCCTCCCTCTCTCTCCTCTGCTCTCCGCTCTCGTCCCCTCCCCTCTCT